ACCGGTTGCAGTCATGCGACAGGACATTGCTTTCTTTGATCAGCGGCAGAGCGGCGAGATTGTCAACCGCCTCACAACAGACGTGCAGGAGTTCAAGGTACAGACAACGTGCAATGCTCCTGTGGTGGCTGTGTGTTGTGCAACAGCTCGTGCGACACATGGTGGCACGTGCATGTTTGCCGACCGTCCCCAAACACAATACCACACGGTACTGACACACACGCGCTCGCTCTCTAAACCTCTCTCTCTCTCTCCCTTTCTGTTTCTCGCTCACACACACAAACACACACACATACACACACACAAACACTCACACACACACAGAGCTCGTTCAAGCAAGTTGTGAGCGTTGGCCTTCGCAACATCACGCAGGCCGTGGGCAGCCTTGTGTCCATGTATATGGTGTCGCCCACACTCACGGGCTACCTTATCGTCGTCGTTCCAACTGTCATCGCTGTCGGCACAGCGCTCGGTATGCACATCAGCTCAACTGCACTTGTTCCCTGTGTGTGTGTGTGTGTGTGTGTGTGTGTGTGTGGTGTGTGTGTGTGTGTGTGTGTGTGTGTGTGTGTGTGTGTGTGTGTGTGTGTGTGTGTGTGTGTGTGTGTGTCAGCAAGTGTTGCTCGTGCACGCGTGCGTTCACTCTGCAGACGTACACTTAGCACTTCTCCTTCCCACCCCCGCTGCCCAGGGTCGTCGCTGCGTCGGATGTCACGCGAGAGCCACGAGGCCGCCGACAAGACCACCTCATATGCAACCGAAGTCATTGGCAACATGCGCACCGTCCGGTGAGCGCGGCCAACATTCGACAGCATACACACGTCGCTCCCGTGCATACACACACGTGTGTGTGTGTGTGTGTGTGTGTGTGTGTGTGTGTGTGTGTGTGTGTGTGTGATGACATGCAGTCACACCACACTTCGTCTTCTGTCGCATTGTGCATCCATTGCATGTTCACCCACGCTGCATCTGACACCCCTGCCCCACTCCAACACACCTCTCAACACACCTCGGTGACCAGTGGGTTTGGTATGGAGTCGCGGGAAGTGGCGGAGTTCAACCACTGGACCAGCGAATGCCGCCGGCTCGCGTCAAAGCTCGGTGCGGTTTTCACAACGTGGGCCGGGGAAGGAATTGATGTGCAGGGGTAGATGTGAGGGGTTGGATGCACGCGCATAGCGATCGACCGTGCCGCTGTAGACACACACACACACACGCACGCACACATACACAGAAACAGACACACACACACACACAGGCACACGCACACACTGTCTCACTCACTCACTCACTTACTAACCTTATCCTACGCCTGTGTCGTGTGCAGCGTTTGGCATTGGTGTGTTCACTGGCGGCTCGCACCTGTTCCTCAACGGTGTTGTACTCGGCGTCATCTACTACGGCGGCGTGCTCATGTCAAGGTGGGAGGGGGCGGTTGTCGCTGAGGTGTGCTGCAGCGTGATGCATGGATGCATCCCGCGTATGTGCATGCTCGTGAATGCACCTGTGCTTGCAACGGGGACACGCTCACTGCCACACTAACTCACTCGCCACTGTCTTGTCAGGGACGAGATGACAGCGGGCGACCTGATGCGGTTTCTCGTTTCATCGCAGACCATCCAGCGTGCCCTCTCCAACACATCCGTCCTCTTTGGCCAAGTCAGTCAGTGCCTGGCCTGGCGTGTGTGTGTGTGTGTGTGTGTGTGTGTGTGTGTGTGTGTGTGTGTGTGTGTGTGTGTGTGTGTGTGTGTGTGTGTGTGTGTGTGTGTGATCGTGTAACGATAGTTTGTACTTGCCTGGGTACAGTTGTACTGTCGCAATTACCCACGTGCGGATGACGTGAGCCAAGCGACGCTCACGTTGGTACACGTGTGCACACCACCACCCTTTCACCGCCGTTGCCACCACCCCACTCAAACACCATCAATCCTCACCATCCACCCCCACCATTCACTCCACGCTCTTTCAACATCAATGTAAACGCTTGCAGGTTGTGAGGGGCATGGGTGCAGGCTCCCGCGTGTTTGAATACATCAAGCACAACTCGTACATCCCACTTACTGGCGGCCTGAAGCCGCATCAACTTGAAGGCGGTATTGAGTTTGCTGACGTCACGTTCGCGTACCCAACGCGCCCCGAACAGCAGGTGCTGAAACGTTTCCATCTCCAGATCCCCGCAGGAAAGATGGTGGCCCTCTGTGGACCCTCAGGTCGGTTTATCAATCTGTACTGTGCATGGAGCCTACGTTGTGTTGTTCCTGCAACACATGCATGTATTTCTGTGCACGTGTGTGTGTGTGTGTGTGCACGCGTGTGTGTGTGTGTGTGTGTGTGTGTGTGTGTGTGTGTGTGTGTGTGTGTGTGTGTGTGTGTGAGTGGGTGTGTGAGTGGGTGTGTGGGTGTGTATTTCTGTGCACGTGTGTGTGTGGGTGTGTGGGTGTGGGTGCCAGAAGACTGGCTGTGGTGTTGGCTCAACGATCAGCAACACACTCCACTCCCCGCTTTGCTTGGCTGTAGGTGCTGGCAAGTCGACCGTTGCCAGTTTGATTGAGCGCTTCTACGATCCTTCAGAGGGAACAGGTACACACCCACGTACAATGACACACTGATGGTGGTCTTCAAACAGCCATGGTCATGACGGTGACAGCTGTCATTGCTCGTCTCGTTTGTGCTTGCAATAGCGTGTGTCGTGGTTACTTGTCTCACACAATTGCCCCGCTTTACACAACTGACCGCTGGTGCTGGTGTTCATATGTGCGCCAGTGCTCCTGGATGGTCTTCCGCTTTCCGATTACGACCCAACATACATCAGGTGAGGCCATAACGCGTGTGTGTGTGTGTGTGTGCGTGTGTGTGTGCGTGTGTGTGTGTGTGTGTGTGTGTGCATGCGTTATGTGTGTGGTGGAATTGTGATGGATCAGCCCTTCTTTGTATGTTCACAACGCCTGCTGCGTATGATTGACCAACAGGCAGCAAGCCATTGGCTACATCAACCAAGAACCCGTGCTCTTTGCAACAACGTGAGTCGTCCGTGCCGTTGTCGTGGCATTCTTGAGCGAAGTAGCTGGGGGGAGGGGGTTGCACGAAGGCATGTGTTCGCGAGAACTCACGATTATTTGCATCATCATTTTTGTTTGTGCAATAGGGTCTTTGAGAACATTCGCTACGGCCGCCCAGACGCCACGCCCGATGAGGTGCGAAACACACGCACGGACACGCACAACAAAGGATGTGACTCAAACAAACTAACACACACAAGCAGACATGCACACACACACGAACAACCACGCACACACACACAAACAAACAACCACGCACGGACACACACATCTCCCTACTCGGTGTTCATACGAATGCGGGCTTCGCTGTTCAGGTGTATGAGGCGGCGCGCCAGGCGAACGCGCACCAGTTCATTTCGTCGTTCCCGGAAGGTAACGTGGCCATGGATTCCGTCGATGCAGCACACTTGCTTGAACGCTCATTTGTCTGTAAGCGTGCTGACAAACGCGTACACACATGCACACACACACACATTCACGCACACACACACGCGCGCACACACACGCACGCACGCACACACACGCACACACACACACACACACATATATATTCACGCATTGATGCACGCTGCCGCCCACCTGCGTGCATGATCAGGGTACGACACGGTGCTCGGGGAGCGCGGGGTGACGGTGAGCGGCGGGCAGAAGCAGCGCATCGCCATTGCCCGCGCAATCCTCAAGAACCCGCGCATCCTCATTCTGGACGAGGCAACAAGGTGACGTCCCTGTTGGCTGCTGCCGTTGCTTGATGCTGACGTACTTATGTGTGTGTGTGTGTGTGTGTGTGTGTGTGTGTGTGTGTGTGTGTGTGTGTGTGTGTGCGTATCCTTATGTGTCCGTGCGCGTATACTTATGTGTGTGTGTGTGTGCGTACGTGTGCCTTGATGTGTTTGTGCACCCTATTCGTTCTGTGCTAACACGTGTCCGTTCTTCTTCCTGCCTCCATTCTCATCACTCAACGCACCATCGCACCAATGCACCAACCCCCTGCAGCGCGCTGGATGCAGAGTCGGAGAAGTTGGTGCAGGCGGCACTCGATCGCCTCACGGCGGGACGCACCGTCCTCGTCATTGCCCATCGCCTCAGCACCATCCAGGCCGCAGGTGCGCTGCTGCTTGATGCTGCAGGCATTGTCATCTGCAGTGTTGTCATTGTGTTGTGGTTCGCTGTGGATGTGGCTGTTAGTGTTGTTGGTGGCGTCTTTGAGCCGTGGAAGCTGCATGCCTGTGCCTTGTTTATATCGCCTAATTTCCGTCATACGCCCCCGCCACACACACACACACACACACACACACACACACACACACACACACACACACACACACACACACACACACACACACACACACACACACACACACACACACACGCACGCACATGCAGACCAAATTGCGGTTGTGCTTGGCGGTCGCGTGGTGGAGCAAGGAACGCACAAGCAGTTGATCCGGGCCAAGGGCGTGTATGCAGATCTTGTTCGACATCAGATCAGTGGCGAGGGTGGCTATGTCGTGTAGAATGCATTCACAAACCACCGCTCCGTCCACGCTCATGTCTGTCCATGGGTTTTACACTCAGCACACCCGCCCCCTCTTCTGTGTCGTGTTTCACTTTCGTCATGCCAAGGACACCTGAGTTGCGTTGTGTCATGTCATGGTGTGTCGGTTGTGTTGAGAGAGTTTGAGCTAGGGAGCATTCATTGCCTTCATGTTGCCGTTGTTGTGTTGTTGGTGTTGTCAGTGCCGTGATTGCGACTGTTTACTCTTGTTGGTGGGGAGGGGGAAGGAGCTCATCGCTTCATGTCAGGTCCAACAACAAAACAACCAGCCCACACCAGTAAACGTAGAGCAACGTTTCATGTTCCATATGTGCGCGTGCATGCATGCATGAAGGAGAAGGGCAAAGAGAAGGAGAAGAGGAGGTGTGCGCACCACCACCGCAGCCGTGGCAATCACACACGCAATGCGCACAAAACCACACGCATACGTGCATGCACACAAAGCACGCACGCACATGCACGTGCACACGCATGCACACACGTTCAGCTCAGGCCCTGAGGACAAAGAGTTGGCAGAGGAGGGCAACACCAAACCCTGTTGCACGCTCGCCGCTGTAGGCCGGGGCGGCCATGTCAATGTGCAGCCAGGCGTGGTCGTCGGTGAAGCCCTCGGGGAGGTGGTTGCCGATGAACTGCGCCGCGCAGCTGACCTGGGCGTTGGAGCGGTTGGCAACGCTGTTCTTCATGTCGGCCACGGCGCTCTTGAACTCGTCGGAGAAGAGCTCTGGGCACCACATGAGCGGGTGCACGAGGTCACCGCTGGCGCGACCGGCAGCAACGGCCTCTCCCTCGAGCCGCTCGTCGCTGCACACGATGGCGGCGTGGCGCTTGCCCGTGGCCACGCCCTGCGCACCGGTGAGGGTGCACATGTTGACGAGCACATCTGGGTTGAAGTGCTGGGCGGCATAAGCGACGGCGTCGCCAAGCACGAGGCGTCCCTCAGCGTCCGTGTTGTTGATCTCGACCGTCTTGCCGGAGTAGAGCACGTGGATGTCATCGGGGCGGGTCGCTGCGGGGCCAACAGAGTTCTCTGCAATGGCGAGCAGGCAGTACAGGTTGTCCTTGAAGCCGCACTTGACGGCTGCGACGAACGCGTTCAGGACGCCGGCGGCACCGCCCATGTCGCGCTTCATGCCTACGACAGCAGTGGAAAAGGGATAACATCGGTGGTGAGGATGGAGTGCAGGCAGAGAGGGAGGAAGGGGCAAGGGAAGCAAGCGGGCGAGGTGGAAGGCGGACAGGCAAAGAGGCAGGTAAGCAAGCAGTGATGTAGGTAAACACACACACACACACACACACGCAAACGCACACACAGACACACACACACACACACACACACAGACACACACAAACACGCACACACCCTACCTGGCATGGTTGTTTTGCCCTTGATGGAGAGACCACCGGTATCGTAGACGATGCCCTTGCCGCACCAGGCAATGGTCTTGGTGGCGCCTTCAGGGGTGTACTTGAGGATGACGAGGCGGGGTGGGTTGACGGAGGCCTTGCCCACACCGTAGATGCCGCCCAAGCCTTGCTCCCGCAGCTCCTCACCAACAATCTCCTCGCCAGTGACGCCTGGCAGGCTCTCCGCCAGGTCCAGGGCGGCCTTTGCAAACGAGGCACTGTGCAGCTCGTTGCATGGCGTGTCAACAAGAGCGGCACACCGGCGCACGCCCTCGCTGATGGCGGCAATCTGGTCGTACAGCACGCCCTCGCCGTGCATGTTGCCGTCGGGCGTCATGAAGGCGACATGCGCCGTGACGCGGCTGCTCGTCTCCATCTTGTTGCCCTTGCGCGAGTACGTGGGCACGGCACGCGAGACGGCAGAGGCGGCGGTGACGCACATGGCGTCCTGGCTGGCGCTCGTGTGCGCCTCCAGTGGCACGACGTAGACGACCTGCAGCGTCTCGCCCTCGTGCCCAAACTCGCCACCCATGAAGCTGCGCACGCTGCGGGTGATGGCGTCGGGGCGAACAACGCTGTTGAAGCGCGTCGCCGCGCTGGGCGTCATGACAAAGCACAGGCGCACGTAAGGAAGGCCCTTGTCCTCGCCATCACCGCCAGCGGCGGCAGGCACGGTGACGCTGGTGCTGGCACCGTTGATGGGCGACTCGCTGCCCTTGATGGCTTCAAGTGCGCTGGCGCAGACGGCGGCAGCAGCACCGGTGTCCTGCACGCTTCCCGCCAGCTTGGCGAGGATGGGCGAGGAGGGGCCCTGCACGGCCTTGACCAGCTCCGCCTGGCGGCCGACGAACACGACGCGGGAGGCGCGGGTGGCCAGCGTCGACGCAAACACAAGCTTCACAGGCATCCTGGAGTGTGGTGGTCTTGTTGGTCGTGGTTTGTTTGCTTGCAGTGGAAGGAGGGGAAGTGGTGGGAAGTGCAGGTTTGTTCTTTTGTTTGCGTTGCTTGATTGAAGAAGAATGGTGGCTGATGCGTGAGACAACCAACCAACCAACAATGACTGCGTGCTGACAGGTGATTTGTGATCCAACCACTGCATCACCCAGACAGGTGTGTCAGTGGGTGTGTCAGTGGGTGTGTCGGCGTGCACGTTCTCTTCTCCACTCACCAACACGCCATCATCACCACCCCTCATGCTCTCATTTTCTTGTGTCTTTGCTCACATCCTTCCCTTCCCACCCTCAACACCACCACCACCACCCTCCACACTTGCTCGTTTTCCCTTCCTTCCTTCTGCTGTCGCCGCACAGAGGGCCTTTGAGCCAGCAGATGTCACCCCCTCCCCTGCACCAACCACCACTGCTGTGGTGGGATGAACAGACGGGCGCTGCCATGTGATGCCCATCCAGCCACGCTTGTGCGGCTGTGGAAACAGCAACACCAACTCACACTACAAAGCAAGCAAGCGATGAGCAACGGAGTGCATCACTGTATGTGTGTGTGTGCTGCGCACAGCACCAGTGTCGCATGGTTGTGGTCGCTGTCTCTGCTGCTCCTGTCTCCCCTTGTTGTCCCACATCAATGTGCATGCATGTACGTCGTGCGGCTGCCTGTTTTGCCTTGCTTGAAGCGCTGTCTCATTCGTCGTTCTCACACACAACTGCTTGCACACCTGCACATTCTCCACCTTGCAGTCACTGTTCGTCTTTCCCTCTCTTTCTCGCCCTCCCTGGCAGCCATCACAACAACAACAACAGCAGCCAACACACCCTCCACCGCCCATGCAGCAGCAGCAGTAGCAGCACCAGCACCACCACTTGCTGCTGAACACATCCCCACTGCTGCTGGCGGAAGCTGGCTGTTTGCAGCTGGGAACAGGTGGCGACAGCGGAAGTTGCATTTTCGGCTGGAAGCAGCAGCAAGCAGAGGTGAGGGCGAGAAGAAGAGGGGAAGGGAGAGGAGATGCGTGTTGGCTGGATGGTTGGATGGATGAGTGAGGTGAGGTGGGGGATGCTGGGTGAGTGTGATGTGGTGTGGTGTGGTGTGGTGTGGCTGGCTGGTGACAGAGCATGGTGGTGTGTGATGGTGTGAGGAAGAGGGATGGATGGAATGGATGGGGTGCCGCATGTCTTGTTCCTTCCCTTTTGTTTTCTGTTGTCTCTCTCTTCCCTTTCTCCTCCTTCACACACATGCATGCACACCATCAGCAGTGGCAGCAGCGGTGTAGCTGCGCACATATTCATACTCCCTCTTTCCCTCCCACTCACTCACCGTGCTGGGGCTCGCACACAAACGCACTTACAGGCGATGCGCACGCACAAGCAGCAGGATGAGGGAAATGTCGAGGATACTTGCCACGCGTGCCAGCTGCACTCGCCTCACACATGGTATGTGGGTGGTGATGGGCGGTTGGTTGGTGGTGTGATAGGGTGCGGTGATGGTGCTGGGGTGCGGTAAAGCGAACACGAGGGAAGAGGGGTTGATGGGGGGATGATGGACACACACATCGACACACACGCACACGTGGTGAATGTGGTGTCCATCACTCGTTCTGCTGTGCTGATATGATGGCTTGCTCTGTGCCTGTTGTGTTCTGTTCCCATCCATGGTGCCTGCAACCACGCACGCACACACACACACATGCACAGGTGCTGAGGTACCAGCACACATCAGGATGATAATGATGGAAGCGGGCTCGCATGCCGGCTGCTGCGGCTGCAACTCCCCCGATTTGGCTGTCGCTGCTGTGCTCATGCAGTGTTCCCACATGCGTGAGCAAGGTGAGCCCACCATGGATTCATTGGTTGGCACATGGTGCATGTGTTGGTGTTGCTGCTGTGGGTGCTTGGTGTTACCGCTGCTGTGCTTCATGCAGCAGTGTACCTGTGCAGCTCACATGTCATGTGCGTGTGTGCATGCTTGTGGCTGCAGGGGCGACTGCATGAGGATCGTTGGAGGATGATGATGGGTGGTGCACACATGATGGATCGGGAGGAGCAGCTGTGGACACACACGTCCATGGTCATGGCGGGCACATCCAACCACAGCGACGCAGTCGTGCGCAGGTGTGTGTGTGTGTGTGTGTGTGTCATGGAGTGCGGAGGAGGCAAGCAGAGGAGGGTCAGGAAGGTGAACACGTCTGCTGTGCTCACATGCCATACCTGTGTGTTGTGTGATGTTGTTGTGTCTTGTCGTTGTGTGTTGGTTGCATGGGCACCAGGGCCACATCAGAGGAGGGGGAAGTAGCCGCCATGAACGACCCATCATCATCATCATCATCATCAACCTTCCCCATTTCTCTCTCCTTTTTCGCTCTTCCACCTCAGCTCCTCTGTCATCACCGCCATCGACCGCACAGCCGCCATCACACTCCGGCCGACACCAGCTCCAATCTGGCGTGAGGCAGACATTGCACATGTCAGTCGCTCTGATGAAGAGGTGAGCAGTGTGTGCGTATGCGTGCATGGTGGTGGGATGAGTGGAGACAACATGTGTGTGTGCGTGAGGTTGTGTGTCAATGCGGGTGGTTGGATGGGGCTGGCGTGTGATTGATGATGCTTCGCTGTCAACCTCACGCCCCCCCCCCCTGAATTCTCTCCCTTCTTGTGTCTGTGCACACATGTTTCACAGCGTTGAGGAGGCGCGTGTGTGTGTGTGTGTGTGTGTGTGTGTGTGTGTGTGTGTGTGTGTGTGTGTGTGTGTGTGTGTGTGTGTGTGTGTGTGTGTGTGTGTGTGTGTGTGTGTGTGTGTGTGTGTGTGTGCATGGTTCATGCCAACGCCACCTGCACCATGGCGTCTTCCTGGCCCACCGTGCTCCAGATGGTGTGCGGCACACTGCTGCTCGCTCAAGGCGCCCCCTCGACACGTGCCTGTGCAAGGCTTAGCGCATCAGCTCAGGCACGCAGCTGGTGTTCAGCAAAGAGGGCGGGCGGGGTCTGCCTCGACTACTCCCGGACCCAAGCATGCAGGCCAAGACATT